CAGGTATCGGGAAGATGGAGGGAATATTTTGAGGAACAGTTAAATGTTGATGAAGATAGGGAAGCTGTGATTTCATGTATAGAGCAAGGAGGAATAACATCTTGTAAGAGTGAGGAGGAGTGAGTTGCGAGTGTGGGGTAAGTTCATGAGGTGGTGAGTAGAATGAAAGGGGGTAAGGCAGCTGGGATTGATGGGATAAAGATAGAAATGTTAAAAGCAGGTGGGGATGTAGTTTTGGAGTGGATGGTACTATTATTTAATAAATGTATGGAAGAGGGTAAGGTACCTAGGGATTGGCAGAGAGCATGCTTAGTTCCTTTGTATAAAGACAAAGGGGACAAAAAAAAGTGTGTAGAAATTATAGGGGAATAAGTCTGTTGAATCTAGGTAGTAGGTTGGTAGACAGCAACTGCCCAGGGAGGTACTACTGTCCTGCCAAATGAGTGTAAAACGAAAGCCTGTAATTGTTTTACATGATGGTAGGATTGCTGGTGTCCTTTTTTCTGTCTCATAAACATGCAAGATTTCAGGTACATCTTGCTACTTCTACTTACACTTAGGTCACACTACACATACATGTACAAGCATATATATACACACCCCTCTGGGTTTTCTTCTATTTTCTTTCTAGTTCTTGTTCTTGTTTATTTCCTCTTACCTCCATAGGGAAGTGGAACAGAATTCTTCCTCCGTAAGCCATGTGTGTTGTAAGAGGCGACTAAAATGCTGGGAGCAAGGGACTAGTAACCCCTTCTCCCGTATAAATTACTAAATTTAAAAAGAGAAACTTTCGTTTTTCTTTTTGGGCCACCCCGCCTCGGTGGGATACGGCCAATGTGTTGAAAGAAAGAAGAAGTCTGTTGAATATACCTGGTAAAGTGTATGGTAGAGTTCTCACTGAAAGAATTAAAAGACAGATAGTAGGATAGAAGATGAACAAGGAGGCTTTAGGAAGGGTAGGGGGGCGTGTAGACCAAGTGTTTACAGTGAAACAAATAGGTGAACAGTATTTACATAAGGGTAAAGAGGTTTTTGTGGCATTTATGAATTTGGAAAAGGCATATGACAGAGTGGATGGGGGGGCAATATAACAGATGTTGCAAATGTATGGAATAGGAGGCAGGTTATTGAAAGTAGTGGAAAGTTTTTACGAGGATAGTGAAGCTCAGGTTAGAGTATGTAGGAGAGAGGGAGATTATTTCCCAGTAAAAGTAGGCCTTAGACAAGGATGTGTGATGTCACCATGGTTGTTCAGTGGTCCCCCGCTTTTCGTAGTTCCCGGCAATTGTAAATTTCGCCAATCATAGGGGTATTTTCGTATAAACATGGACTCGCTTTTCATAAGTTGACTCGCGAGTCGTAGTTCGTCCGGGACGCGTACCCACAGCGTGAGCCGGGGCGGCAGCCAGTCTGGCATTGTTTACCAGTGAGCGAAGGTCCCCTCACGTGCTCCAGCGAAATATTTCATAATATTCCATTTATTTTAGTGCTTGCAAGTGCTAAATAAGCTACAATGGCTCCAAAGAAAGCTCCTAGTGCCAAGCCTGTGGTAAAGAAGGTGAGAAATACGACTGAATTTAAGAAAACCATCATTGAACAATATGAAAGTGGTACAAGTGTGGCCAAACTGTCCAGGATGTATAAGAAACCCTACACAACCTTATGTTCCATAGTGGCCAAGAAAATGGAAATAAAGGATGCTGTTGTTGCAAAAATGAGATCACCAGTACTGGAAGAGGTTGAGAAGTTATTATTGGTGTGGATAAATGAGAAACAATTAGCAGGAGATACTCTTATGACTTTGATTATTTGTGAAAAGGCTAGGCAGTTGCATGAAGATTTGGTAAAGAAATTGCCTGCAAATAGTGGTGAAGTGAGTGAATTTAAGGCCAGCAAAGGCTGGTTTGAGAGATTTAAGAACCATACTGGCATACACAGTGTGGTAAGGCATGGTGAGGCTGCCAGTCTGGACCACAAGGCGGCTGAAAAATACGTGCATGAATTCAAGGAGTACATAGAGGCTGAAGGACTGAAACCTGAAGAAGTGTTCAATTGTGATGAAACAGGCCTCTTTTGGAAGAAAATGCTAAAGAGGACCTTCATTACACAAGAGGAAAAGGCAATGCCAGGACACAAGCCTATGAAAGACAGGCTGACGCTAATGCTCTGTGCTAATGCTAGTGGGGATTTCAAAGTGAAGCCATTACTAGTGTACCATTCTGAAAATCCCAGAGTGTTCAGGAAAAACAATGTTATGAAGAGTAAATTGTGTGTGTTTTGGAAATCTAATAGTAAGGCACGGGTCACGAGGGAAATTTTCGTTGAGTGGTTCAATGAAGTGTTTAGCCCTAGTGTGAAGGAGTATCTCCTGGAAAAGAAATTGGATCTCAAGTGCCTACTAGTAATGGACAATGCACCTGCTCATCCTCCAAACTTGGATGACCTAATTTTCGAGGAGTTTTGGTTCATCACAGTAAAGTTCTTGCCCCCGAATACCACTCCTCTCCTCCAACCCATGGACCAGCAGGTTATTGCAAACTTTAAAAAACTCTACACAAAAGCAATGTTTCACAGGTGCTTGACTGTGACCACAGACACTCACTTGACCCTAAGGGAATTTTGGAGAGAACACTTCAGCATCCTCCATTGCTTAACCCTTATAGGTATGGCTTGGGAGGGAGTGACTACCAGGACTTTGAACTCTGCCAGGAGAAAATTGTGGCCAGATTGTGTCGACAAGAGGGATTTTGAAGGAGTTGGGACTGACCCTAATGAGCCTATGTCTGTTGTAAAATCAATTGTGGCACTGGGGAGTTCCATGGGGTTGGATGTGAGTTTGGAGGATGTGGAAGAATTGGTGGAAGACCACAATGAAGAGCTCACCACTGAGGAGCTGCAAGAGCTTCATCAGGAAGAGCAACACATCGCAGCTCAGAATCTTGCTGCAGAGGAGGAGGAAGAGAGATGGAAGAAGGTGCCTTCTTCAGAAATTAAAGAGATTTTTACTATGTGGAGTAAGATGGAAAGCTTTATGGAGAAACATCACCCTAACAAGGTTGTTGCAAGTCAGGTTGGCAACATGTACAGTGACAAAGTCTTGGGACATTTTAGGGAAGTGTTAAAGAGACGCCAGAAACAGAGCTCTCTCCACAGTTATTTTGCGAGACAGGACTCCAGTGACTCTCAAGGTGGTCCTAGTAGCATTAAGAAACAGAGAAGAGAAGCAACCCCAGAAAAGCAAATGGTACCCGAGGTGTTGATGGAAGGGGATTCCCCTTCCAAACTATAAACAATCCACTCTCTCCTCCTCCTCCAGTCTCCCCCATACACTAAGAAGAATCTCCAATAAAGGTAAGTGTTATGCTGTTAATGTTTCATTCATCATTTCCCATTGTATTGTTTATGTACTACATGTATATTTCATGTAAAAAAATTTTTTGTTTTAATACTTCTGGGTGTCAGGAACGGATTAATTGTATTTACATTATTTCTTATGGGGAAAATTGATTCGTAAATAGTAAATTTCGTTTATAGTAACGGCTCCAGGAACAGATTAATTACGAAAAACGAGGGACCACTGTACTTATAGATGAGGTTGTAAGAGAAGTGAATGCTCGGGTGTTGGCAAGAGGTGCGATGTTAAAAGATAAAGAATCTAACACAAAGTGAGAGTTGTCACAGTTGCTCTTTGCTGATGACACTGTGCTTCTGGGAGATTCTGGAGAGAAGTTGCAGAGGTTGGCAGATGAGTTTGGTAGGGTATGTAAAAGAAGAAAACAAAGTGAATTTAGGAAAGAGTAAGGTGATGAGGATAAAAAAAAAAAATTAGGTAATGAAAGATTGGATATCAGATTGCAGGGAGAGAGTATGGAGGAGGTGAATGTATTCAGATATTTAGGAGTGGACATGTCAGCAAGTGGTTCTATGAAAGATGAGGTGAATCACAGAATTGACAAGGGGAAAAAAGTGAGTGGTGCACTGAGGAGTCTGTGGATACAAAGAACTTTGTCCATGGAAGCAAGAGGGAAATGTATGAGAGTATAGTTATACCAACACACTTATATGGGTACGTAACATGGGTGGTGAATATTGCAGCAAGAAGAAGGCAGGAGGCAGGGGATATGTCAAGTCTAAGGGCAATGTGTAGTGTGAATATAATGCAGAGAATTCATATTTTGGAAATTAGGAGGAGGTGCGGGATTACCAAAACTATTATCCAGAGGGCTGAGGAGGGGTTGTTGAGGTGGTTCGGGCATGCAGAGAGTTAGGAACGAAATAGAATGACTTCGAAAGTGTATAAATCTGTAGTGGAGGGAAGGCAGGGTAGAGGTAGGCCTAGGAAAGGTTGGAGGGAGAGGGTAAAGGTTTTGTGTGCAAGGGGCTTGGACTTCCAGCAAGCATGCATCAGTGTATTAAATAGGAGCGAATGAAGACAAATGGTTTTTAGGACTTGATGTGCTGTTGGAGTGTGAGCAGGGTAGTATTTATGAAAGGATTCAGGGAAACTGGTAGGCCGGACTTGAGTCCTGGAGGTGGGAAGTACAGTGTCTGCAGTCTGAGGGAGGGGTGTTAATGTTGCAGTTTTATAACTGTAGTGTAAGCACGCCTCTCGCAAGACAGTGGAGTGAATGATGGTGAAAGTTTTTCTTCTTCAGGCCACCCTACCTTAGTGGGAAACAGCAGTTGTGTTAATAAAAATTATTATATTCTTCCTCCGTATGCCATGTATGCCATACAAGGCAAATAAAATGCTGGGAGCAAGGGGCTAGTAACCCCTCCTCCTCAGTAGGATACAGTCGGTGTGTTGAAAAAAAAGTTATTATATTCATGTAGAAGTGCTAAACCCCTAAATTATGTCATACAGTGCCAGGAGAATAATATAAAATCAGGCTTGAGCCAAGAAAGAACACAGCTCAAATTCTTTACAGAAAGAGCTCTTCACTAGCATCAAGCCACCTTCCCTAAAAGGAAACACTTAACATTAGAACAATATAACATACATGGCCGGGTGCGAGTTGTGTAGAGGTCCAAGTAGCCATTATCTACTTTAAATTTTGCATCTTCATTCTTTGGGGCATTCATTCCACTGCGATTTTTAAAATATGGAACACAAAAATGAGAGATGCGCATGGGTGCCTTTCCATTTGGATCCCACCTATATTCTTTGTCACAAGCAAATCTGTCTTCACTTATTTCTTCTTTCAACTTTCTCTGAAAATAAATTGGGTAACCAATAAGTCATTTAATTTAAACATGACAAAGGCATTGCCAGATAAATGGCACATTTTTGTCAGGTGAAAAAAATTTACACCGGTATATGACTTTTGATAGTTTACATGTACTGTACCAATTAGATTTTTTAAAGCTTCAGTCACAAAATATTTATAAATACAAAAATGTTTGAAGATTTTCTTCCTTGAGCATTCTCATGAACATTTTAATAATTTCTCTTTTATTATCTTTCTCCTTAATAATACACTACTACTCCTCTATTTTCCTAAATAAAAAAGGTAATAATAAAAAAAAGCATATTTATGCATTACAAAAATCAATACAGTACATGGTTAACATACTATCCCAAAATTTAGTTTATTCCAAGGAATAAGAAGGTAGCTCAAATTCCCTGGATCAAGAGCCCTTCACTAGCATCAAGGCCTTCTCTCCCCCATGAGCACTATATCAAAGTTAAATGAACCATAGAATTAGATGGTTAATGTTTGAAATCCATTATGGGGTAAAGCTCCTAGATCATCCATTTTTGCACAATGAGCATAAATTAAACAGACTGCATGACACTGGAGGTGGGAAGGACAGTGCCCACACTCTGAAGCAGGGGTGGAAGTATATTGCAGTTTTTTAACTGTAGTGTTAGCATGCCTCTAGCAAGACAGTGATGGAGTGATGATGAAAGAGTTTCTTCTTTCTCTGGTCACCCTGCCTCAGTGGGAAACAGTCAATGTATTAACCCTTTGACTGTCGCAACCCCCAATCCTGAGGTGTCTCCTGGTGTCGCAAAATTTCAAAAAAAAAAACTTATGAAATGATAGAGAATCTTTTCCCGATTGTAATGGCACCAAAAAAACGAAATTTGATGGAAAACTGACGGAATTACGCTCTTGCAAAGTTAGCGACCTCAGTGATATTTACAGATCAGCTATTTCGCCCACTTTGAGCCCTATTTTCGGCTAATTCCATTGTTCCAGTCGACCAAACTCATAGCTATTTCTTTAGAACTCGGTTTTTTCTATCGATTGAGTACAAGAAACTGCCCATTTACCAATTTCAACTACCCAATAACGTGGTCAAAATGTTGCAATTTGGCCAATTTCACGAAAATTAAAAAATATGACAATTGCAAAATAAGGTCCAGAATGAACAATGCAGACATTCCTGGCTCTAAAATAACATTTTCTTTGTTCATCAGTCACATCTCCAGGCCCCTCTGATATTACTCTTGCTTTCTATTATGAATTTTTATTCAAATAAAAAATAGAGGATTTACATTATGCAGACTACTGTAATACTGCAATAATTGTACAAATAATGTCAACCCATTCATGACTGCATATTAGAATGGCTAGTTGGATATTTATTGGACAATGACGTCGTTTGTTTACTTTTGAACATCGCAAAAATCAAACATTTCCCCTAATTTGAGCTCCATTTCCAGGTTCTTTTTATAGTAAAACTAATCAAAATCACCTCTATTTCTACAATATGGTTTCCATTCTATCAAATGAGACTAAGGAAACGAGAATACAACCATAAATACCATACGAAAATAACCACAAAGTCGGCATTTTAATTAAAAAAAAAAACGGTCGGAGTTTTTTTTTTCTCATTATGCACTGCATGCTCCAGGATTTTTTTTTATATGGTGCACACTGACCACACAGACCCATTCTCTCTCATGTGAGCCTACCAGCTTTCTCCTGCTTGATTTGAAGCCGCTAGAACTTATGAGTATATACATGGTACCTCGTAAGACGTATATATACAACCAAAACAGTCAAAGGGTTAATAAAAAAATTACAAAGGTCTTCATCACTCTCTACCAAACAAATGTGGGTTCTCAATTTTTTTTTCCAACACGTCGGCTGCTTCCCTACCATCACTCATACATAATCACTGTCTTTGTGGAAGCGCTCAGATACGACAGCTTAGACATTCCTCCAAGTTCTCATTTTATTTTTTTTTTGGTAACACATCGGCCATTTCTCACTGAGGCAGGGTGACCCAAAAAGAAAAATCCAAGAAGAAAAATACTTTTATCATCATTCAACACTTTCACCATCACTCATACATAATCACTGTCTTTGCAGAGGTGCTCAGATACAACAGTTTAGAAGTCCCTCCAAAGTGCCAATATCCCAAACCCCCTCCTTTAAAGTGCAGGCATTGTACTTCCCATTTCCAGGACTCAAATCTGGCTAACCAGTTTCCCTGAATCCTTTCACAAAATATTACCCTGCTCACACTCCAACAGCTCATAAGGTCCCAAAAACCATTCATCTCCATTCACTTGTATCTAACACATTCACATATGCTTGCTGGAAGTTCTCAATATATACATAAAATGAATATACACAATGTATGAATGTATTTGGTAAGAAACTTAAGTGAAAAAATATAAAAAAAATTCAGCTTTAAGAAAATTGTGAATATTAGTGCATTTGGTAAAACATTAGTGCACTTAAAAACTCAGAAAAAATATATTTAAAATAATTTGCTCAAATATTTGCTAGAATCGTAACTCAAGTCAGTGTTCATATTAATTTAATTTATTCCAATGTCCCATTAGCTTAAGTGTGAAATAATGTAAGCTGTAATGTTGAGAGTCGGGGATCGAGTGGATAAACTTTTCTGAACACTGGGTTTCAGGTGGCTGGTCAATGTACTTAATATAAACTTCACTTAAAAACAGTGCAATGAAACTAACCAGTCTGTTTTCACTATTTTGTAGCACCTTCTCCAGGTCTTGAATTCTTTCTCGGTAGTTGCGCTGCAAGGTCATGTTGATCTTCAGAGCAGTTTCAAGGGTGGGTGGCAGACTCATGAGCTCTTCCAGAGAGTCATCACGACCTCCGCTGTCTCCAGCATCGGTACTTCCAGTCCCAGAATAACGCAACTGCATTCCAGATTCAGATCTATCTGAACCCCCTATAGAAAAAGTTTTATTAGCTGCCACCAAATGTAGACAGTTATAACTGCAGATTACTAACCATTCCATGATACATTTTGGCTGTGTAATAATTTTTGGTTTTCCCTTCACAGCTAAATGACAGTTTGGATAGGAAATTTTAGAATTTTTTTTGGCTCCTCTTAGACCATTATTAAATCAAGATGTACGCAATTTTCTCTCCAAGTTGTCGTTAGTTGTGAATCTTCCAGCCCCAGTACTGTGACTTACATTCCTGCTTTTCTATTATTGATTCCTGTGTATTAACATAAGATTGACCTTACCACTGATCCAAAGCTTAACACATTTACAACAAAATGAGACAAAGGATCATATTGTAATTGTGCAGTGGAATCTTAATTACACAAAATAGTACTATGGGGTGTCACAAATAATAAAGTTGCAGTACCATGGCTAGAACCATTCTTCTTCTTTCAACAAACCACCCGTATACAGTGGTCCCTCGATAATCATCGGGCTCGATAGTCGTCCTTTTTGGAAATCGTCGTGTTATTTTCGTCCAAACATTGGCTTGCAAATGGTCGGTTGACTCGCTAATCGTCATTCATCCTGGACACGTACTCACAGCTCTGAGCTGCCTCGGCCTAACTTCCCAGCCAGTGTGCCATTGTTTACCAGTGAGCGACAATCCCCCTCATTTGTTCATACGAAATATTTCATAATATTCCATTCATTTTAGTGCTTGCAAGTGCTAAATAAGCTACCATGGCTCCAAAGAAAGCTCCTAGTGCCAAGCCTTTGGTAAAGATGGTGAGAAATACGATTGAATTTAAGAAAAACATCATTGAACAATATGAAAGTGGTGTACGTGTGGCCGAACTGGCCAGGATGTATAACAAACCCCATACAACCATTTCTTCCATCGTGGCAAAGAAAAAGGAAATCGAGGAAGCTGTTGTTGCTTGGAGAAAATTGTGGCCAGATTGTGTCCACAAGAGGGATTTTGAAGGGTTTGTGGCTGACCCTGATGAGCCTATGTCAGTTGTGAAATCTATTGTGGCATTGGGGAGTTCCATGGGGTTGGATGTGAGTTTGCAGGATGTGGAAGTTGGTGGAAGACCACAACGAAGAGCTAACCACTGAGGAGCTGCAAGAGCTTCAGCAGGAACAGCAACAGATCGCAACTCAGAATCTTGCTGCAGAGGAGGAGGAAGAGAGATGGAAGAAGGTGCCTTCTTCAGAAATTAAGGAGATTTTTGAAATGTGGGGTAGGATGGAAAGATTTATGGAGAAACATCACCCTGAGAAGGATGTTGCAAGCCATATCGGCAACTTGTACAGTGACAAAGTCTTGGCCCATTTTAGGGAAGTTTTAAAGAGACACCAGAAACAGAGCTCTCTGGACACTTTTTTTGCGAGACAGGACTCCAGTGGCTCTCAAGCTGGTCCTAGTGGCATTAAGAAACAGAGAAGAGATGTATGTAACCCCAGAAAAGGACTTGGTACCTGAGGTGTTGATGGAAGGGGATTCCCCTTCCAAACAGTAACTAATCCAATCTCTCTCCTCCTCCAGTCTTCCATACACTAAGAAGAATTGCCAATAAAAGTAAGTGTTATGCTGTTAATGTTTCATTCATGTCCCATTGTATTGTTTATGTACTACATCTATATTTCGTGTAAAAAAATTTTTTTGTTTTAATACTTCTGGGTGTCAGGAATGAATTAATTGTATTTACATTATTTCTTATAGAGAAAATTGATTCGAAAATCGTCTATTTCGATAATTGTTACACTTCCAAGAACGGATTAACGATGATAAACGAGGGACCACTGTACCACCGAGACAGAGTGGCCCAAAAAGAAAAACAAGTTTCTCTTTTTAACTTTAGTAATGTATACAGTAGAAGGGGTTACTAGCCCCTTGCTCTGGGCATGTTAGACGCCTCTTACGACATGCATGGCTTACAAAGAAAGAATCCTGTTCCACTTCCCCACTGAGATAAGAGGAAATAAACAAGAACTAGTAAGAAATTAAAGGAAAACCAAGAGGGGTGTGTATATGCTTGTACATGCAATTAAAGTGTGACCTAAGTGTAAGTAGAAGTAGCAAGATGTAACTGAAATCTTGCATTTTTTTTTTTTTTCAACAAACCAGCCGTATCCCACCAAGGCAGGGTGGCCCAAAAAGAAAAACAAAAGTTTCTCTTTTTAAATTTAGTAATTTATACAAGAGAAGGGGTTACTAGCCCCTTACCCCTGGTATATTAGTCGCCTCTTACAACACGCATGGCTTACGAAGGAAGAATTCTGTTCCACTTTCTCATGGTAATAAGAGAAAATAAACAAGAACAAGAACTAGAAAGAAAATAGAAAACCCAGAGGGGTATGTATGTATGTATGTATATATATATGTATACAGTGGACCCCCGCATAACGATTACCTCCGAATGCGACCAATTATGTAAGTGTATTTATGTAAGTGCGTTTGTACGTGTATGTTTGGGGGTCTGAAATGGACTAATCTACTTCACAATATTCCTTATGGGAATAAATTCGGTCAGTACTGGCACCTGAACATACTTATGGAGTGAAAAAATATCGTTAACCGGGGGTCCACTGTATATGTATATATATATATATATGTATATGTATATATATAGTATATGTATGTATATATATATATATATATATATATATATATATATACACAGTGGACCCCCGGTATTCGATGGCATCGGTATTCGATAAATCCGGTTTTCGATGCATTTTAACGCAAAAATTTTTCCTCAGTATTCGATTGAAAACCTGGTATTCGATATGATTCGTATGAGACCTGTCCACGTGTGTGCTAGTTTTTACAAGCCAGCCAGTGTGCGCGCATCTAAGGATACATTCGGTACATTCCATATTATCAATATTATCACTGTATTTGGTGCTTGTTTCTGCAAAATAAGTCACCATTGGCCCCAAGAAATCTTCTAGTGCCAATCCTTCGAGAAAAAAGTTGCTAATGACTTATGAAATGAAGAAAGAGATAATTGCAAAGTACGAAAGTGGAGTGCGTGTGTCGGAGCTGGTCAGGTTGTATAATAAACCCCAATCAACCATCTCTACTATAGTGACCAGGAAAACGGCAATCAAGGAAGCTGTTCTTGCAAAAGGTGCAACTGTGATTACGAAACAGCGACTGCAAGTGTTAGAAAATGTTGAGAGATTGTTATTGGTGTGGATAAATGAAAAACAGATAGCAGGAGATAGCATCTCTCAAGCGATCATTTGTGAAAAGGCTAGGCAGTTGCATGACGATTTGGTAAAGAAATTGCCTGCAACTAGTGGTGATGTGAGTGAATTTAAGGCCAGCAAAGGTTGGTTTGAAAGATTTAAGAATCGTAGTGGCATACAGTGTGATTAGGCATGGTGAGGCTGCCAGTTATGTTGTGTGACAGAAGTCCAGTGACTCTCAAGCTGGTCCTAGTGGCATTAAAAGAAGGGAAGTAACCCCGGAAAAGGACTTGCTACCTCAAGTCCTAATGGAAGAGGATTCCCCTTCTAAACACTAACACCTCTCCCCTCCTCCCATCCCATCAATCATCACCAGATCTTCATTAAAGGTAAGTGTCAGTTATTTTATTGTTATTGTAATTATTCTATTGCATTAAACTTAATATTTCATGTAGTAAACATTTTTTTTCATACTTTTGGGTGTCTTGCACAGATTAATTTGATTTCCATTATTTCTTAGGAGGAAAATTGATTCGGTTTTCGATATTATCGGTATTCGATGAGCTCTTAGGAATGGATTAATATCGAATACCGGGGGTCCAATGTATGTATGTATGTATGTATGTATACAGTGGACCCCCGCTTAACGATCACCTCCAAATGCGACCAATTATGTAAGTGTATTTATGTAAGTGCGTTTGTACGTGTATGCTTGGGGGTCTGAAATGGACTAATCTACTTCACAATATTCCTTATGGGAAAAAATTCGGTCAGTACTGGCACCTGAACATACTACTGGAATGAAAAAAGTTCGTTAACCGGGGGTCCACTGTATATATGTATATATATATGTATATATTATATATATATATATAATATATATTATATTATATATATATATATAAATATACAGTGGACCCTCAACCAGCGATTGCATCGATTAACGATAAATCTGACTACCGATTCATTTAAATGCAAAAATTTTGCCTCGACTAGTGCTTAAAAACCCGACCAGCGTTTTTCGTTCCGTACCATACGCGTCCACTTTGGCCTGAGCGTGCCTCACTTGTCCCTTTGGTGCCACTGTTTACAAGCCAGCCAGCCACCGCGGTCGCTTCCAAACATACAACTGGAACATTTCATATTATCACAGCCTTTTTAGTGATTGCACCTGCAAAGTAAGTCACCATGGGCCCCAAGAAAGCTTCTAGTGCCAACCCTACAGCAAAAAGGGTGAGAATTACTATGGAGATGAAGAAATAGATCATTGATAAATATGAAAGTGGAGTGCGTATCTCTGAGCTGGTCAGGTTGTATAATAAACCCCAATCAACCATCGCTACTATTGTGGGCAAGAAAACGGCAATCAAGGAAGCTGTTCTTGCCAAAGGTGCAACTATGTTTTCGAAACTGAGATCGCAAGTACTCGAAGATGTTGAGAGACTGTTATTGGTGTGGATAAACGAGAAACAGATAGCAAGAGACAGCATCTCTCAAGCGATCATATGTGAAAAGGCTAGGAAGTTGCATGACGATTTAATTAAAAAAATGCCAGCAACTAGTGATGTGAGTGAATTTAAGGCCAGCAAAGGTTGGTTTGAGAGATTTAAGAAGCGTAGTGGCATTCATAGTGTGATAAGGCATGGTGAGGCTGCCAGTTCGGACCACAAAGCGGCTGAAAAATATGTGCAGGACTTCAAGGAGTACATAGACAGTGAAGGACTGAAACCTGAACAAGTGTTTAATTGTGACGAAACAGGCCTGTTCTGGAAGAAAATGCCAAGCAGGACGTACATTA